CCAATCCGCCGATTCTGGAGATACACAGTCTATGAGGAGCATGCCCACCCGAAATTGTATCCCCGCAAATCGCATTTGACCCATATTTTGTCCGTCGTTGTGTTGCTCTCCAATCGCCACTACTTCGTCCAGTATCGCCTCTTCTAGAGCCGTTTGCTGGTCGGTGGTCAGTATAACCTCTGGGTAATCCTTTGGTAGCACTGCCATTTTCACTTGTCCAGCAATAGAGGCAAAGCTGGTGATATGTCCCTGATTGCCTCTCGGTGTTGGACGGCTTTTTTCCATCCTGGCTTTTTCTCTTCTTGCCGGAGCAGAGGTGGAAGGTTTTCGTTCCCTCTTTTGCCCTTTGGTGAAGATGCGCCGGCCTGTTTCTTGGTTCCTTTGCCCTCCCCTCTATGGAGGAGTACTTTCTCATTTGCTTCCTCTGGAGCAAGTCATTCGTGGAGCAGTCGGAGGTATCCCCGTGCTTCTGCTCCGCTAAGACCCACTCTCAGCGGATCGTCCACCCCGCCTGGTTGACCCAGGCCAGGTAGACTAAACGGTCTGTGTCGCCTGTTGGGTTTAGAGGTAAGCTTCCGACCCTTGCTAAAGGAGGTGGTAGCTTGAGTATCACTAGCGCAGGACGGTCCCGCGCAAGTGTCAGACACCTCTCCTGTAGTTCTCTTTGGGTTTGGCCCCCTGGAACTTTCATTGTTCCTGTTCCCAGTGTCACTAGGGGGTTTCCCCACACAGCTTCTCCGGTGGTGTTGGTGTTTTTATTACTGCTCATAGTGTTCCCACGAGTCGCTAGGGAAAGTCAGTCCACTTCTACAAGAGCCCGCATGTAGAAGTAAGGGGTTAATACAATGGGGTGCCCCTGATGCCCCAAGGTTGAGACCAGTAATGGCTAGTCCCCTATCTAGCCACGCATCCCTTTGACCTGGTCCCGCCATAGGATTTAGGTTTTTGGTGGGGTTGTCTTCTCTTGGTCCAGGCGGTTAAGCCAAGGCCCTCCCACACCTTCTACCCGCGAGACTTGACGACAGACAGTAGAAGGTGCCTGGTTTAAATGTCTTGGTGCAATTCCCTGGCCACTACAGCCAGAGACAAGACAATGAGTGAGATGCTTCTTGGACCGAGCCAAAGTGCTAGAGGAGATTCTGCCAGCACCTGACAAGGAGCTTCCCCACCAACGACAAGGTCTTGCATCTCCTAGGGGAAGACTATATTAGTTAAAAACTAAGAAACTCATATCAAATTTAAGTTTTGCGATACTTTTTATCGTTGACTTATACTTTTTACAAAATCTGAACACATTTTAAAAGAAAAAAAGTTTTTGATAATATTTGTGTAGATTGACTACAAGTTGTATAACATAAATTTCTACGACCGGTCTACCTAGTGGTCTGCAACATCGCCTTGTGGTGCAAACGTGGGCCTGTTAATCTGTGGCGTGACGCCAAGAAAAACAGAAGCATGGCTGGAATTTAGTAATTAAAAAGTCTTTTTAGATACAGTAGTAGGTATTAAAAGTTTTGTGTTTAAATGGGCTTTGCCTTTAACAGTTAAAATTATATCGTAAATTGTAACTTTCCGTAAATTCTTTATCTGTCATTAATCATGAATACAATAGCATTATTATTATTGATAATGTTTTATTTAATTTTAACATTACTACTTTTTCAGTGAATCTTTAAATCTGTTGTTTTTTGTTAAGTTCGTTATTTAAACATATGTATGTAATACACTCATATTAACACTAATCATATTTTTACGTTTTTATTCATCATTTTCAATGCCCCCCCGGTTGCATCTTTGTAAAGGACTGTGAATTTTTTGAAAATGTCCACTACCTCAAGTCGGACAGTGATTCTTGGTTTTGGTTATAAAGGGAACATATAAATTGTTCAATTTTAGAAAAAAACTGATTCTTTAATCTCTTCGGTTTCACCCAAAGATGTGAAGTTTTTCAGAGTGGCTCAGCTGTCGGCTACTGGAATTGTTTCCAAAATGTGGTTTTGAGTATCCTCTTAAGAACCCGTTACATCACCATAGACAATGCATGCAAACCAGGAAGCGCTGCAGCTTTTAGAGAACCTAGTTTATTGTAGATGGCCTGCAGTAGGAAGCTCGAGGAGTTTGAACCTGTTTGCTGAGGCGGATCATATCCAGGAGAAAAATCTTATTTTAGTTGCCCCCTTACCAGACGCTTGTATTACATGAAATAACATTATTGGCGCATCCACCTCTTCATTGGCTGCTTTTTAAAAATGGCATGTCCCCGGGGTTTTTTGTTGGTAAGCTTAATCTCTGATCTATATGAACAAACTACTGTGACTTGAATGGAAGTGTTTTCCCACTTTAGTTTTTTTAGAAGTATGGTAAAGCTTATCTTTTATAGTTGTATGCGATAATATTGTTTTTTGTTAAGGTTTTTTACACTAGTTCTGTCATGGACATTGTATTTTACTGGATCTACACCCTTTTGTCTTCTAGTCCGTTCAAAAGACTTCAAGGAATTTTCATTGTAGGAACCAAAAACTACATGAATTTCATTAAACATTCCATACTTGAAAAAAATTCTGGTTACAAATGCGTCTGCAAAATTTGAAAGAAATTTCATATTGTTTAAGGATATCATTTGGACTTCTGCCATTCCGTCTATGATTGCAACAGAAGATGTTAAATTTAAGACATCACACACATAATCCAGAAGGTGTTTCTATATCATCTTCTATAATTTCGGCCAAATGGGACATTACTTTTTGCAGAACACTTAATTAATGATCCATCAGAATAAAATAGACAACGAGGAAGAGCAGATAACTCATAGGTTCCGATTATACTTTTTAAATCAACATCGTCCCGACTACGACAGACAAGGACACATCTAGTAAAAATATTTTGATGCTTGTCTGTAATTCTGACCATTTGGTATTGACTTTAACTTTTTCATAGAACACTACATAGTTTCAATTTTACTGTCTTTACCGGATCCCAAAAACCAGCCTCATTTGTTTTAATTCTGCTCTTAAAAAATATATCAGCCTCGGTCTTTCCTATCTCGGGCATATCTTGAACGTCATGACGAACGTCCTCACTAGCTATGCGATTGGTAATTAATCAAATTGTTATCTTCGCACTGGAAAGGATTGACGTAGTTCTCAAAAGTTTCTTTCGTTGATTTAGATGACACTTGCCTTTCAGAGGTGGATTTATTATATTACTGGTGCCTTTCCTTATTGTATCGGAAAGAGTGCCTATAACCATGTCATATATTTGATTAAGATGTGGAGCACATAAAAAGTACTTGACCAATGCCTCAGGATTAAGCGTAATTCCAGTATGTCCTCCAGAAACTGTTAGTTTCCGATTTTCTTGTTCTAAAGCTTCATCAGCACCTAGAGAACAAAATCCGTTCCCGTATTTATACCATTAAAGGCCAGAAGATAGGTATTCCCAAGTAACAGGATCTTCTTTTTTACTGACACTGATTTCTGCAAGATGGTGACATATCATGGATGCGTAATTCCTTAAGTCAAGTGCAAAGAAATATTTTTGAAACTCGTTTAAGGTAGCAAGTCGTAGCTCCCAATTCCTACTTCGCACAGCACTTATAAATGAGAGCATTGTGAGAGCCGTATTTAAGTACTGAACTGCAAAGGTAAAAGTTGAGTTGTTCTCAGAAATATAAGCATTGCATTTAGAATATTTCTCGTATAAACTTGATTCATCAACACATTAGATTTTCAAAATTATCCAACAAAAACTTGTCATATGTAAAAATTTTAAAACAATTATCCAACTTAATTTGTCATATGTAATTTTTAATGTGTACTTTACAAAATATTACTACCAATTACTACTCTTCAATATATTCGAAAAAAAAAAAAAAAAATTTGTTTTTAATAAAATCAGAAATACCCACTTCAAAAGACGAGCAGTGTATGTTCTCATCTGGTTTTTTAAAAATTGATCTCATATTTAGAATTTTTAGAAGCCTGAAGTTATGAAACACGACACCAATATCAATATTTTACGTCTATAACAACTTTTTCGAAATTGGACCCCGCCTAACTAGGGGAGGGGGTATTTCTTCGCTCTGACATGGATGCGGGGCTGGTACCAAAAAAATCGTCGTCACAGATGATACTTCCCATTTTGGTATCTCACATTGCCTCTTTGAAATTGCAAGCGATCTATGTATTTTGACAAATTGGCCCTTGACTAATATATGATGAGTTGAAGGCTGTAGACGAGCTATAACTCAAAAAATTATGAAATATAAATTTGGGAACTTTTTTTAATTCATTATATTTTTTTCTACAAAAAAAATATGTTTCTGTTGAAACTTTGGCATAAAATGGTATCAAATTTATGATTTCAGTCTAATGTTGAAAATTTAATAACTAATTTCTAACTATCTTGTCAATATGGTTTATTTTTGTCAATGGTGACATGTATTGTTTATTTATATTCTAAATATCTTGAAAACCATTACTCCTAGTGTATGATTTTTTTTAAGAGATTTTTTTTTACCTAAAGAACGGCGAAAATGTATATTTTTTCACTAATTAGTTTTCTACAGCTACGGATGAGAAGTTACTACTCTTCAAACCAGTTAAAAATATGTAGGTGGCGCCGCCTACAAGTAGGAGCCATATTGGCATGGAAATAAAATTTCCCATGTCAAAAAACAATCAGACACCAATATTCATAGAAATATCGACGTGAGTTTAGATAATATTTGGAAAATATCGAAATAAAAATGATTCTTCTACATCCTGTATCTTCGAAACGAAGCATTTTAGAACATACATTTATAGGAACTTTTATTCTTATATGTAGAATGTGCTGGCCGAAGTTTGCCGAATACAATTCAGTCTACCCTGGAGAACGATAATAATTTTAGTATTTCATGTTCTTTTTATATAAAAAACTAAAATGGCTATTTTAAGCGATATTTTTAATTATTTAAATTGATATTTTTCCTCACATAAGCTGACTTTTTCAGTATCTCAAGAGCTACTTGACTCCTATCACTAACTTTTCATATAAATAGCCGTAGAAAATAAATCTTAATTTGTTGTTTCAGTATTCTCAAAACAATGAAAGGTGTTGTGTTGGTTAGTTTTTTTGTAGTTGCCGTCAGTGCCCACTCTTTGCTTGAGCAGGATGGGATCAAATTCCAGTCTTTCAAGGTAAGGCTATTTCAATAAAAAATATAAATATAAAAAATAACTATTCCCGGAAATAGGTGTCCAAAGCCGTGAGCAGTCTTGAGCATGCCTGTGCATTCGCAACATCTGAAATTATGCGTAATAGCTAGTGTTTCCGCAACCGGAGTTGTTTTTCAGAACCAGGAATTTCCGTATCGCTTTTAGGAACCGGGATTTCCCGTTTTTTTCGGTACTTTCGGTATTAACTAATTTTTGTTCAATGATGGTGCAGTTCATTAATTAGAATGCAAGGGGTGCTTTTTCAAATTAAAATCGATAAAAAATATTGAGATTTTTAATAAAAGTTATATCAAATTATTGTAAAATACACAAGCAAAGAAAAAATTATAGGTAACTTAAAATTCACATCAAACAAAATAAACCAAATATCTATTAAAATATAACATAAAATTTAACTCATACATTGAACAACATTATGACATAAATGACATTATATCAAACTTCAAAATTAACAAGTACTACCTGATGATAACAATTACTTAGTAAGGTAAAACCAAAAAGCTTCAAACTTTGTGTATGATTATTTTTAAATTTGTTTTAAATTTTTACTTATAGTATGTTAATTCATGTTATGTTCTTTAAAATCGAAGAAGCGATTGCCATATATTACTAATCTCTACAGATGTATGACCAATACATTTATTTTTATTAGATTGTATTAAAAACCCTCTTTAATTTTTCTTTTAGAGGCTATCGCTTCTTTCACTGTAATTTTTGCGTTGTTACAATCTACTCTGTGTACCCTGTGTCCCTGGGACTGGATAAAGTGCTGACAAATTTTAGATTTGTGAAAATCACCCTTTCTTAAATCGCCTTTATATTCTTCAATTCGAACATTTAAGGGTCTAGATCTTTCACCATTATAAAATTTACCACATTCACATGGTATTTTGTATATTAGATTTATTGTTTACTGTCCAGTGTTCATTGGTTTAGTGTCGGTTAAAATTGATATAAATGTATTTTGTATTTTAAAAGATGTCCGTTGTCATATTGTTTTCCTATCCTTCTTATTTTTTCCGAAACGCCTTGTACGTTGTATTAAACCAAAACAGAGATATATTTAAATTTAATATCAAACCACAGTATATGTGTAACAAAAGATGTTATAAAAAGTTAAATATATATATATATATATATATATATATATATATATATATATATATATATATATATATATATATATATATATATATATATATATATATATATATATATATATTGTGATATTAAATTTAAATATATCTCTGTTTTGGTTTAATACAACGTACAAGGCGTTTCGGAAAAAATAAGAAGGATAGGAAAACAATATGACAACGGACATCTTTAAAATACAAAATACATTTATATCAATTTTGTTTTTTTGAATACGTTAAAATATATATATATATATATATATATATATATATATATATATATATATATATATATATATATATATATATATATATATATATTTTAACTTTTTATAACATCTTTTGTTACACATATACTGTGGTTTGATATTAAATTTAAATATATCTCTGTTTTGGTTTACTGCAGACATCTAAAATTAGTTTATTTTGAAATTTTAACACTGAAACATCAGGAAATGGTAAACGATTATCTCTCTCTACTTCCAACGTACATTTTATGGTTTGTTCGCGAGAATTTATATAATTCTATGTAAAAAATGTCTCTTTCAGAAACGTTATGTTGCCATATTGCAAAAATATCATCAACATACTGCAGCCATATTACAGGCTTTTTTGAAAATATATTTATTGTATTATTTTCAAAATCTTCAATAAAAATATTAATAAAATAACATATTTAAAATTCAATAATTGCTAATAAAAATTATAGGAACTTCAAAACTAGTAATAAAGTTTAATTAATAAATATTTAAAAATTTAAAGTATGACTAATTTGTACGCATAGTTGGAGCATGGCAAAACCTACCAAAATCCAGCCGAGGAAACCGCTCGCTTTGCTATCTTCAGAGACAACCTTCGTTCTATTGAAAGACATAATGCTCGTTACGAACAAGGCCTTGAAACCTATACACAAGGTACATCCCTTTATATTCCAATTATTATAACTTATTACATAAAATCATTTCAAAATTATATTAACTTAAATATTTGTTTTAAACAGGTATCAACAAATTCGCTGACATGACCCACGCTGAATTTAAGGCCATGCTTAAACTGCAGTACCGCGGTAAACCTGCCATGAAATCCACCAAAAATTTCGAACTTCCCAAAGAAGCTACCGTACCCGACTCCATTGACTGGAGAGAGAAGAACGCCGTAACCGAAATCAAAAATCAGGGATTTTGTGGAGCATGCTGGGCTTTTGCCGTTGTAAGTACACTTAAAAAAAATTGGACTTGGCATATTTGAACTTCAAATTTTGAAGTGAAATTTCTTCTTACATCCGTCTGTCTGCTGTCCGTCTGAGGACTCCATTCGGGTATCTCCATCCATGTGCCGAGTTTGATTCCAATCGACCCATAATTAAGAAAAATCCTGATGATTTAGTCGATTTAGAGGCAACGGTTCGAAACGTCGAGGGCGTCATCCTGTAGCCCGTCCCCAATTATGCCGAAATCGACCCACATTTTTCTTCAATATCAAATCGTGAGTCCCACCCTGATGAAGATGTAAACGAAATGTCATATCCAACTTTGTAGGGTGGGAGGGTATGCACCGTCGCTCGCACAGCTTACCCACCAAATTTGATCGCGATCGGACGACTTCAACTTTTGACGTTCCTTACTTCAAAACTAACTGTCACAGTGACACGTGTCGTACGCGGTCAAGTTGACCTTGGTCCAATCTATCGACATACCAAATTTCATTTAAATTTTAATGGTACAATTTGGACTCTTCGAGCACCATCTACATTCAGAGTTTCAGCCCTCTAACTCACATATGGCCCGAGATACGACGCTCCAAGATCGTTACAACTTTTCCTCCCGCGTTTCGTGTGTCATGTCCTTGCAGGGTTGGCAAGTTTTGAATATAACGGTCGAAACCAATGCTTTTAACCAGGTTTTAACCGTCCTGGTCAAAACAATTTTGGACAGAGTGGACAAAACTGCACAGAGTGGACAAAATCACGTTGCATATATAAATATTTTAACAAAATAAAAATGTAAAACAGTAACAAAACAAGAAGGTAATTTAAAAACCACAAAACAAAAGTAAGAAGTAATTTAAAGTCTTAAAAGACCAACTTAGTTGTTTTCTTCATTACCACTATAATCGTTACAGTCTTCATAATGAGATTTAGAAGGTTTCGAAATTTTCAACATTCTGTACACTGACACCAACTCTTCGCATTTTTTCATGCCTTATAACTTATTTCTTAATTTTGACTGTATAAAGCTAAAGTTGGAAAATATTCTTCTATTCCATTTGAATTGATGTCTGAAGACACAGATATATTACCAAAAATTTGGTATCTATTGCCTTTTAGTTAGACTTTGGCGCATCTCCTTTATTCTTCTTTCCAAATTATTCAGCAGATAGCTGTTTAACCACCGCCCTGATCAAAACTAAGAAAAGGTGTTTTTTGCCAATCCTGCGGCCATGTCGGCACGTATGTCAAGGCTTACAATTTTTACTCCCATCGCGCGTCAAGAAGTTTCACTTCAAAAAAAAAAAATAGTTATTAATCGCGTTTAGTTAGCTCAGTTTCTTTAGTGAAAACAGATTTATATTAACCCTTAACCGACGTCGTGAGGTCTCTGAACCCCGTTCGTTGGGTCCTAAATATGATTTAATGTTTTTAACCATTTTCTCCCCCGTCATTTTTTATTTACCCCGTACAGCACCTTCCTGTTATGGAGTAATCTATCATATCTCAAAAGAGCGTCACTTAAATTAATGCAGCGACAATCCAACTGTCATCCTCGGGTCCAAAAGACCGCATGACGTAGTTATTGTAACGTTTTTCCATATTTTGATAGCATCGTCAAAACGTCTTTAAAGAACTATAGGATAATGAGGAAAATACTAATTTTTAATAGTCAAGACGGAGGTAGACTCTGCAAAAATATAGAACAAAAGCACTGCGAGCGCTCATAGATACTGAAGCTTCGGAAGGAAGATGATAAATCAATCCGAATGAAGGTTGATTCTCACTATTCCTTCCATATCAGCTCACTTCCGTTTTCACAATCCACACACTGTCCGTTCCGTTTCCCTTCCATTCCATAGCCTTTCATTCCATACATTTTTTTTACCGGACGGATTGAAGCCTATCGGAAACAGCGTTGTCAAGTTCTTACATTTGTACCAGCTCTGTTAAAATTTTGCTGATATTTATTTATTCTTTAGCCTCTTAATTAAATATAATATTACCTTTTTTAAAAGATACAAATCTTTAAAATAAAAGTTTCGTAATGATATAAATTGTACAATAAAAAGTATGGAACTGATACGGTAGAACGGCAGCTTACGTCTAGCTTACAGTGTTACTTATATAACAGTGGATTTGCCATTAAATTTCCATTTCAAAATACCATAATGTCATATACTATACCCAGTGGTTTTTGGAATATAACCGTTTTTATACTAAATTTACTGCTTATACAAAGCCCTCTCAAAATTATTGTAAATTCGAAGAATTTTAATTTTTTTTTAAGTACTGTTATAATAGAATATTCTTTAAAATTCAGTCTTTCAAAATTTGCCATCTTGTTTGATATATACCGGGTGCGTCTCAAAAGTGGCTCACCCCTATAACCTTTATATGTTTTCAGATAAAAAATCGAGATTTGGTATGTTAGTATATAACATAAAATAGGATTGATTGACGTATTCAATTGTTTTCGGTCACTTCCTGTTTCACCGGAAATGACTACAACTTTTGATTTTTAAACTACACCCTCGGTATGTTGTTACTTAATTCGCTAGAAAATCACACCTTGAATAGAATGACATATCATATGTCAACTTTTGACATTTTCGAAAATGGTTTATTTAAAATAGCAACATGCGATTCATAAAGACAATTTGACCCCAAATAACAAGTGTGCTGTACCAAATTATTCGTAAAAAATTGCTTTTTTGAATATGCTAATGAGCCACCCTCGTTCCATTTGAAAACATTGAGATATGATTAAAAATACGATTTGGACATGTTTTAATCGACCAGGACAAGACACTAAAAACGTTAGACGATCAAATCTATTTTTCCAAGGCATCTTGATTAAAAATTATTTTTTCAACACAGCCATGGCACTCTAGATTGAAATTTAAAATACAATTTTGTTTTAAGCGAAAATGTCAAAAGTTGACATGATATGACATTCTAGCCAGAGTGTCATTTTCTATCGAATAAAGTAAAAAAATACCGAGGGTGCCTTTTAGAAATCAAAAGTTGTAGTCATTTCCGTTGAAACAGGAAGTGGCCGTAAACAATTGAATACGTCAATCAATCCTAATTTATGTCATATACAAACACACCAAATTTCGTTTTTTTTATATGAAAAAATAAAATAGTTATAGGGTGAGCCACTTTTGAGACGCACCCGGTATAGGGTGAGTCAAAACTAAATGTATTTTTCTCCACTATTTTCAATAAAATACCTTGTATTTTAAGAAATGTCTATACTTTGTATTTTGTATCACATTCGAACATTTTGTATCGTATATCAACTTTGTATTTTGAACTCATTCGAACGAGTTTTGTTTAATCTTTTTTGTTTTATTCTAAGCTGAAAATATATGTTGTCTCATATATTTGTAGGAAATTCAATTCTCTACAAAAAAAATATCTAACAATTTTTTGTAAACCTCACCGTTCGAAAGTTATTAAAGGCTCTTCTTCTTAAAATGCCGTGCAGATTCCTGGTGTACATCTTTTTCTTCCTCATCAGATTGGAAAGATCCTCATTGGAAGTCCTGTATGCCTGTCCAATGACGACTATTTCTCAGCCAGGATAGCTTCCTTCGGCCTATTCCCCTTTTGCCCCCTCGATTTTACCCTGGAGAATTAGACGCTAAAAGTGATAGCGTTCTCCACGTAGTATATGTGTCCCAAATAGGCTATTTTCCTCTTCTTGATGATTTCGAAGAGTTCACGTTCTTCTAGACCAGCTCTTCTGAGAATGTCTTCATTCCTCATCAATTAAAGGTTTATTCAAATCAATATTAAGGTAATCAAAACAATCAAATAATTTATTTGACGAAAAATTGTTATTATTAGCTATTCCACGCTAGTTTATATGTGCAGAATTATTGCACAAGTAAATCAAAAATATCAATAACTCACAGCCATCTTATCTAAAAGCTACAGAAATTCATTTTCAGTGCCGTTTCTTAAGATGACACGATTGAACGCAAAATTATATGGTTAAATTAAATTAAATAAAATAATAATACTCTTTTAAACTAGGTTTATTTATGTTAAAAAATTAATAACCCCAACTAGCATTGTACAACTGATTTACTTAAATATTAATACATTTAAGTGGCTCCGGGCAGTAATCCGGGCGCCTGGATAATCCGGGTGCTTGCCGAAAGTGTCCGGACTACTGAAGTTATACTGTACTTATGTTTACACACTTCTAAAATTCAATAAAATTTCAGACAGGAACAACCGAAGGTGCCTATGCCATCAAGACAGGAAACCTTACCTCCCTTTCTGAACAACAACTCATTGACTGCGCCCTTGAAATGAATATAGGTTGCCAAGGTGGGCAGTTGGAAGAAAACTTTCCCTACATTGAGGAATATGGTCTTGAATCCGAAGCAGATTATCCATTCGAAGGTATATACAGGCCCTGAACCGAATTATAACCTAGAAACCTCCTCATTATACAGGGTGGTCCAAACTGTATTCATTATATAAGTAGAAAAGTTCCTATAAATGTATGTCCTAAAATGCTTAGTTTCATACAGGATGTGGAAGTTTTATTTTTATTTCGATTTTTCAAACTGAACATTGAATACGAAAAATCAAATGCAATAAAATAATATAAAATTGTTAATATAAATATAATATAATATAAACAATGAAATCATTTTCCCGGAAGATGGATTGGCAATGGTAGAGCAGTATAATGTCCAGCGAGTTTCCTGGACCTATCGCCAAGGGGCTACCTTATTTGACGTCATTTGTAAAAAAGTTAAATTAATTCATCTCAACATTTACCATAAAGAGTACAAAATGCATTCGGAAGTGTAAGAAGAAAGTTCAAAGAGCTATAAATAAAATTGAGCGAAAAATAAATTTGTTCAATAGGGAGAGTGGTAATTCTTTCGAACATGTAGAACATTAGAAACTAGTTTGTAGAAGTTGATTTATTTATAATAACTACGATTAATATTATGTATATCATTAGATCGCACACTGAGATTCACAATAAAAAAGTTAAAAATAATATCTTTAAATTTCTGACCTGGATATTATTTATTTGAATCTTCCAATGGGCTCGATTTTTCTTATTCAATGTTAGTTAGCGCTAAGCATTATTGTTGCGATGAATATATTAAGATTAAATAATTTAAGAAACTAGAGTCGGACTTATTATTTTAAATAATAATTAAATAGTTTTGTTGCTGTAAAGGTATCCAAAACAAAAAAGTATAAAGTGTGGCATATCATTGTATTCAGGAGACCGAGTTCTTTCAAAACCTGAAATAAAAAATGCAGGTCCGTATTTAAAAAAAATTAATTGGCCTCTGTGTCTCACAAATTATCAGCTAATTTGAAAATTTAAAAATACTGTCGGAATGCCCTAGTAAAGTGGCTATGAGAATGTACAATTAGTTTTTTGATTTTCTAAAAAGTAACGACAGGAAAAAATAAAATTGATTTTCAAAAAAATCCGTTTTTTTCCGAAAAACTCAGCAATCCATGAAATTTTTAAATCTTTTTTGATGGCATCTTGGTGAACATCCATATACGCAACTTTTGTCCCAATTTAACCATGTTCGTATCTATTACGGTTACCGAGATACCAATGCTCGTACCTCGAATTTGTAGCACCCTTTATACTATTCATTTTTCCATAGCTGTAAAAAGTGCCTTATATCTATCAAAAATACTAGATAAAATAGTACTTTAACCGCAAGGGTAAATTAAATGATACTTTAACAGCGAGGATAGGCTAAAAACTCTATTTCTTCTCGCACGTTTTTTAATGCTTCCATTTTTGAAAATTTTTGTATTCCTCTTCATCAGTTATTCGAGATTTAAATGGAAGTAGGTAGTTTGGATATGGCGTTTGTCGCCTCAGCCTGAATATCTGTTGGTAATTTACTTATTTCGTTTTGAGCCATTCCTGGCTCCAATTCAATGAGCAATCGAGATGAAAGAGAATTAAAAAATATTGACTCAAAACTGACAACTAAAGAGACAGCTTTATTTATTTGTCGAATTACATAGAAACCAACGCCAACGTAATAAATTCCTTGAAATAATAATTTCTAAATATTTTTTAAAATGTATCTCGCTATGGAAAAAAATATTGTTTTATACACGACGATAAAATTGTATTACCTTCTTATAAAATACAATTTTATCGTCTTGTATAAAAAAATAACTATTAGTGATCAATTTATTAAAAAAAATATACTTTTTACTAACATCTACATGAGCCACACTAAAGAATATAAAAACCTCTGCAAAAGTACAAAAGAAATACTCAGATGTTTTAAGAACATGATGTGATGCATAACATTAAACTTAGACTAAAATAAAAATAATTTATAGGTACTGACGGCACTTGCAGATATGACTCTACTAAAGTTGTAACCTACGTTAGCTCTTATGTCGCCTTCAATGGTAGTGAAGACAAATTGAAAGAAGCTGTTGGTACTGCAGGTCCAGTAGCTGTTGGTATAGACGCTGATTACATCCAACTCTACGAAAGTGGTGAGTTTATACAGTGTGTCCCAATATTCCGTGGACACAGAACTACTACTTATTTTTTGAATCAAAATAAATAATTGCACACAATTTACTTCTATACAAAAATGCTTCGTTTGTCCGCTAGAGGGCATCAAAATAAAAGGATGGAGGACTACAGTGGCGGATACAGAGGAGGGCATAAGGGGCCCGCCCCCCCTAAAATCTGCAAACTGTGTTAAATATTAGATTTTTGGGTTAAAACTGGCGCCCTAAAAAGCATATTCTATTTTACTTTTTATTTGCCCCCCCCCTAAAATAAATTCCTGTATCCGCCCCTGGAGAACTATGTTTTGCTAAGTGGCTTTAACATTTGACTTTTACAAAAATCAAGACAAAGTACTGGAAGGGTGAAAACTACCCCCAGTCCTACCGACATACTTTCTTTTCGTAAAATGGTCCATCTAGTATTTACTACATTTTTTGTTTCTTGTAAAAAACGCCATATCGTAGTTTTTGAGAAAAAAAAATGGAGAATTTATTTTCAAAGCATACCTACAAAATACCTATACAAGGAGTCAATGGACATAGAAAAACTACGTATCTTTTGAATCAAAATAAATAATTGCTCATAATTTACATTTATACAAAAGTGCTTCGTTTGTCCTTAGAGGGCATGAAGAAAAAATAAACCTAGATAACTGGTACTATAAATAATCGCTTCATAATCTTCAGTAAATTTTGAATATCTTTTGTTAAAACCATTTTTCCCTATCTGCCAAAATAAAGTGGTGGGGAAGGTTAGATGTGTTTTATTTAAATATTAAAAACTCCGGATTGTATAAAGGGAATCCAACAAACGGGGGCTCGTTTAAAAGAGGGTTTCTTACTCTGTAGTATACCGTATAAACAATAATAATAAGCTTTAGGATGTAGACGCTAGGGGGCGCGATCTTACAATTTAACAAATATTGTGGGTTTTTTTTCATAAAAATTACATGCGATAGTACCTATATGAAATTTTAGCTGATGATAATGAGCAATAAAATCTTAAAAAGTCAGCGAAAACCGCATCTTGATATTCTCTTTCAAACCGAAGATATTAGGAAAATTATAATAAATACGAAAAAATAAGCCCTTAATTACCCTATTTTTATAACACGGTTTCAATAGCCCATAGTATTATTACCATTCTAATAAAAAATAAGATAGAAACGATTAGCTTATTCTAAAATAGACAATACACCAGAATGCCATAATACCAGATATATTAATATCAAATGATTAAGATCAGTGACAGTGAATATGAAACGACGCGACGCCTCACTGGAGTGATGGTAGGCTTTGGAAAAAATTGCTTTTGACGTAATAGTTAAACGTCAAAGTGTTATTATATTAACATTTTGATAGTCTTAGCAGCTTTTTTTATCTTTTGAAGAAAGGCATTTTTAGAAAAACAATCAAAAGTTGATATAACATTTTGATGTATAAACTATCCCTTTAAAAGCAACTTTTTTCCAGAGCCTGCCATGAATTCACTGAGGCGTCATTTCTGTCATTGATGTCTTAATTATTAGATATTAACACACTTAGTATTATAGTATTCTGGTACATTGTCGATTTTTTGAATAAAATAGTCTTTATCTTGTTTTTTTATTAGAATGGTCATAATCAAGAATCAAGAGGGCTACCGTATTAGAAAAATAAGGTAATTAAGGGCTTATTTTTTCGTATTTATTATAATTTTGCTAATAACTTTGGTTTGGTTAAGCTTGTATTGCTCTTTAGTATCAGCTAAAATTACATATACTATCGCATTTAACTTTTTTGAAAAAACGCGTAATGTTTGTTAAGTTGTAAGACAGCGCCCCCTAGCGTCTACGGTCAAAAACTTATTTTTATTGTTTATATTGTATAATATGATACGCTTTTTTAAACGAGCTCTCACTGGTTGGATTCCGATCATCCAGAGAGAGTCCGGAGTTATTAACATTTAAATAATAACAGATCTATCTTTCCCCCACCACTTTATTTTAGCAGATAAGCAAAAATGGTTCCAACAAAAAGATCCAAAATTTACTGAAGATTGTGGAACTGTTATTTATAATACACCTTATCTAGGCAAAACTTCGTAAAAATTCCATTTTCTTATTTTCAATAGCAGTTGCGCCCTCTAGCGACCGTGCTACAAACTTGAAGATAATTTCCGGCAATTTTTCATGGTCTTTTAAGCTATAAATATTTTTTTCCGCAAGTCCTACGACTAATACTTTTCGAGATACAGCCGAGAGCTATTCTTAGTGGGACACCCTGTAGATTATTTATTTTCCTAAATATTTTCATTATTTTTTATTAAGAGGTTATTCGTTTTCCAGGAATATTCAGCGACTCCGATTGTAACCCTAAAGCCTTAGACCATGCCGTCTTAGTTGTTGGATACGGAACTGAAAATGGTACTGACTACTGGCTCATCAAAAATTCATGGGGCGCTTCTTGGGGTGAATCTGGATATTTCAGATTCTTGCGTGGAGTTAACCAATGTGGCATTCAAGCCGATAACACATACCCCATCATATAAATTGTTTTTATATTTAACATATTTTGTAAATTTTGTACAAAATAAATTGTTAATCATTATGTGACATGCAATTAATAAATATTTTAATATTAGTTTTACGTCTTAATTTGTATTAAAAAACATTATTTACATATTACGAAAGACGGAAAAAAAAACAGTTAACGAGGAAGTAGTGGTTAACGCCATAAGTCAGGAAACATACTTTGAAAATTTGTATGATAACAACGAAAATAATGATGAATTAGAAATCGAGAACCCACCATCTCTATACGATCAAGAGGAAAACATTACACTAGAAGGATTACAAACAGCCATAAACAAATTGAAGAACAGAAAATCGCTAGGTATAGATAATATTCCAAATGAATTGCTTAAGTACGGAGGTCCAGAAATCGATAAAGAACTAACACGGCTATACGAAAAAATAAAACGAACTGGATTAATACCTGAAGAATGGAAAATCAACATAACTCTACCTATATATAAAGAAGGCTCAAAATGGGAAGAGTTATAGAGGCACCTATAACGATACTTAGTAATGTACTAAAACTATTAACAAAAATACTAGTAATTAAAATAAGTACTAAGGTAGGAATCTCCGAAGAGCAGCAACGTTTCCGCCCAAATAGATCGACGGTAGATGCAATATTCATATTACGCCAACTGATGAGAAATCCGTAGAATTCAATAAACCCAAGTATAAATGCTTCGTAGATCTAAAGCAAGCACTTGATAGAGTAAAACTTAAAGATGTGATTTATTGATTAAACCAAAATGGTGTTAAGTACCACACAAACTTAGTAAAGCAGCTCAATATAAATAATAAAACAAGTATACCAACAAAATGTGGCTCAACAAGAGAACTCGAAGTCTTATAATATGGACAGGGAGCCTTATGGAAAAATAAATACATGAGTACAGAGAGTAAGACCCGAATTTATAAGACCTGTACAAGAGCCATACTGACTTACGCTGCTGACAGAGCAGAACAAGAGCAGAAACATCAGAAACAAAAAATACGGCTCAACAGAATACGCAACGCAGACACGCTAAGAGAGTTGGAAGTACAGAACGTTGTCAGATGGGTAAGAGCAAGGCGCCGCTGTTGTAGAGACCACGTAGACAGGATGGGTCCAGATCGAATAGCCAAATGGACCAAAAGACAAGACGCCAAGTAGGTAGGCCCACAAAGCCTTGGTATGACAGCTGGACATCAACACCACAAGAGGACAATAATTGACAGGACCTCATTCTATTACAAGATGAAGAAGAAAAGTTAATCAACTTTAATCTTAATTTTTGTAAACCTGTTGTTATCTCTCTACATTACTAATTTAATATTAGTTCTGATTTATTATTATTTACCTATCATGTCATGTGTCTTCATTTTACACCTACTTCCAAAAATGTGTAACAGTCAAATTTCCTCGCTACCACCTCTATGTGCTAGCTCATGAATTATAGGAAATAACTAATTTTGACCTTCACGTTTACTATAATTTTATCGTTAAATATTATTTTATTTTTGTATTTTATGATTATGCAACCGGATATACACCTTGATAATATACAGCTACACAGCAATGTCATTCGATGCCGCCATTAGCAGTAGGATGCCGCTATTAGCAGTAGGATCACTTGTCACTGTCAGGTCAAATCAGTTATTCATTCTTTTGTTTTTATTTTAGAATCTTAATAATATCTAATTAAAAATTGTTCGAAATATGGGTTTATTTGTGGGTTTACTCTGTTAAGTTCGTGCATTGACCGGATATAGGATTCGGCATTGGAAAATTGTTCTAGAACATTGTTTTTTTTATTTATGCAAATATGTGAGAGGAACTTGACTAATGTATATTTCTCTATCTATATCCTGCAGGGAGATTTCCGGTCGTGACGTGATTTTGTTAAAGGAAATCCAATTCTGGTGACTTCTCTCGTATCCGCCGTGTGTGCATCACGCTTGGAGATTTGGCTGCCGCTCCAGAGGCGTTCTACCTGTGGGTTGTTAATATGTCTTCGTAGGAAGAAATTAGAGTTTCTGGGAACGAACTATGGTCAGAGGTGGTTGGATTTGGTTGTAATAGGATGAACCGCAGACCGTATTCCGTATGGGATTAAAATAGCCAAATCTTATTTGGTCGTTCGTAATTGTAGAGTAAGAAGCCGTTCCAGAGCCGTACAGCACCGAACATTCCTACTAGTTCCTCCCTATTGCCCGTGTAGAGTTTACCCGTTGGATATCATAAACTCTCGTTGAGGTAAACTTCAGATCTAATTAGTCCTTTTTGTACAAAAGCTATCTGCATATTTAACTCATATATGTTGTGATAGTCCTTGTTCTATATTGAGGCTCTTTTCTAAGACAACCAATATTATTTAGGGTTTTTTTTTTGTTCACCATTTGAACACCTGTCCTGCATCTATCCGTCTATTAACAACCGTAAGGCAGTTTAAATAAGTTTAGATTGTTGTTATATCTCCCCAGCAATGTATTTTAGATTAAGTTAGATAAGGGGGATGACGTCTTAGTTTTAGTCATTCACTTCTCATATTCATTCGCTTTAATATTCATTCATTTCAATTTATATATAATATTTAAATAAATTTTTATTTTATATAATATATAATTATAGGATATTTTAATAAATTGTTTAAATATATTTACTTGCTTTATTTACAGTCGAGTCTCATAGTTAGTTAAAGTCACTAAAGTTAAAAAGTAGTTAGTAATATTTCAAGTTCATGGTAGTACTCGGCAGTTCGAGGTTAGTGTTGGATTTTTGCTTGAAATTCTATCTTTTGATCTTTGGACCCCTACCACCCCGCTGTTAAAATTAAAAAGCTAGTTGCCTCTATGTAACACATCCTGCCTTAAGTAAACTTTGTGTTTTATTGCACTTCGAATTTAAAAAGACGCCTCAAATGATCCCCATATTTTCCAACCGTGAATTACTGTTGTTTGAAACTAAAAGAATTTCGCACTTCCAACAAACCAAACCAAACCGTACTTTTTCTTGATTTTTGTTAAAGCCAAATGTTAAAGCACTTAGCAAAACAGACACCCAAAATCTCATTCAAATTAAGTTAGAATAAGAATAACGGTTAGAAGTTAGAATAACGGTTCTTAAAATATCCGAAAAAATGTGTTTAATTTTTTAAAGTTTAAAGCCCCCTAGCGGACAAACAAAGCACTTTTGTATAGAGGTAAATTGTGTCCAATAAACTTGTTTTGTTTCCAAAAATACGTAGTAGTTCTATGTCCACGAAATATTGGGACACCCTGTACAACATTTATTTATTCGTCTTGCAGAAGGAAATAAATTGCCTGACATTATTTGACAATAATTAATGCTACTACCACTGCCATTACTCGCTGACGAATATTTGACACGCACCAGAAGATAGTTACGCAAGGCGTTTTCTTTCATGTGATTTTCTGTGACTGAAAAACCCGATACGTGATGTTATCTCTCTTCCGCACTCCGGACATTCAAAAATCTCATTATTTTGTTGCCTCTTTACTTTTTGGTTGTCGTTGTTAACTGAGTTTACAATTCTTCTCCATTGCATTCTATTGTACGCTGCTTCTTCCCACTGATTCTACATGCTTTTCCCGTTTAAGTTTTCATGAAAAATATCCTTGTATCTTTTGAGTTGTCCATCCGGTTTCCTCTTACCCTATACAAGCTCACCGCAAAGAAGATATTTTGGTAGGCGGTTTTCTTGCATCTTGCATACGTGGCCAGCCCATCTTAAGCGGGATTTAGTAATCATACTTCAGCGCTCTCGCAGCTAGCTTTTTCAAGAACTGCTACGTTTGAGACATGGTGGTACCATTTGATTCTTAACAGTTGTCTAAGGTGTCTCTGTTGCAACTTGTTTAATGCATTCGTGTGCCGGTGGCGGCGCGCGGCGCGGCGGTACAGCACCCAGGTTACGCTTCTATAATGGGAATTATTAATGCTGCTATAACTAAATAAAACAAAGAAAAAATATAATTTAAAACTAAATAGAAAGAATTTATTGTTTCTCTATATATAAGTAGCTCTGTTTATTGTTATAAATCAACAACTTTAACATATCATAATTAAGAATTAATAAATAATTTCTTAAATTCGTACAATTCTAAATATAAAAAATACACAAATTATCTTTAACTTAAACTGATGCTATTCTCGGGAAAGTGTTTTCTGCGATGATACCGCATTGATTAACACCGCGCAAAAATCTGATGTAGCCAGATTCACCCCAAGAACTGCCCCACGAGTTTTTGAGGATCCAGTAGTCAGTACCATTTTCAATACCGTATCCAACGGCCAAAACGGCATGATCCAATTTGTTAGGGTTGCAGGTGGTGTCATCATAGATTCCTAGAAAAATAGTAATGTAGTATTAGTAATTAAATAGTGAAATATTCGCATTCAATTAAGTTTCAGTCACATCCTGTTTCACCGGAAAAAAAACTTTAAGTTTTAAATGGTACCTTCGGTATTTTTGACTTTATTATGTAGAAAATGACAATATGAATAGAATGACATATCATATGTCCACTTTTGACATTTTCGCTCAGAAAATAGTATTTTACATTTCAAACTAGAGTGCGACGATATCAATTAAATGTTTAGTTACGTAATCAAGGGCGCGAAGTGTACAATATAGCTTAATTGTCATTGCAAAAAACTCATCGCAACCTTATTAGAACATTTTGAACGGTAAAGCTATAATAATGGCCCTTTATGTCCCTTAAGTGCTATTAAGGAGGTGATTTTTGTTGATGTAAATAATAACTGTTTATATAAATATATTTTTCGTATTTTTGGGATTTTGGTTCTAGGTTTAATTTGAAATTATACTATTTAAGTTAACGTTTTTTATTTTATTTTACGCCAATTTTTTATTTGAGGCATCATTTATTAATTTCAAGTGAACTAACATTTATTAAGGTTGATTCCCACTATACTTTCCATATCAGCTCCCTTGTAGAGGAGAGTAGAGAGAGATAGTATATTATCAGCTTGTAGAAGAGAGAAGAGAGAGATACGAAGGGACATCAAAACTAGAGGCAAGAGGCATACTGATGAATGAATGGCAAAAGGAGTGGGATCTAGATAGATATGGCAGATGGACACATGATCTCATATCAGACATTACTACCTGGTTAGACAGAAGCTTTGGAGAGACGGACTATTTTCTAACTCAGGCATTGACAGTGCACGGATGCTTTAACAACTATTTATATAAAAGGGAAAGATCCACCTCAAATTTGTGCATGTATTGCAAGGAAGTTAATAGTGTCGAACACACACTATTCCTCTGCAATGAAAGGAAGCAGTTTAGAGAGTCATTCCAACGGGACAGTGGCGGACAAGTCTTTAATGCTAAAAATATGATGCAAGGCCTGCTAAGCGGTGAAACATCATGGAAAATTACATATAGACGCATTCGAAAAATAATACAAATCAAAGAAAATAGAATGCGGAAAAGAAAATAATATATACCGCATAGACAGCCTACCAGCTGAAGTAATGCGTAAGCGTTTTCCAGCTGGATAGAGCTTTAGAATGCGAGGAGGGTTTTTTTTCGTCCGTAGGAATCCGACACTACCCAACGGTGTCATTTGCAAGATTTTTCCCTCCTCCTCAAAAAAAAAAAAATATCAGCTCCCTTCCGTTTACATAAAATATATCAGAAAAAACTCAAAATTTAAGTGAGGATGCGGTTTTTTCCTTAACTTGGTCAGTCACGACTAACCTGCTATTTTTAAAATATATCATGTAAATGAATAGGACAATGCACACTATCTATTCCGTTTGTACCAGCTTTGTTAACATTATGTATTGCCCTTTTCAAACGATACAAATTTTTAAAATAAAACTTTCGTAATGATATAAGTTGTACAATAAAAAGTATGTTACTGATACGGGACGGAAGCTTACGATACGGAATGGAAGATTTTTATTGTATTGACGCTTTACAATACAATAAAAAATACCGAACGAATATGGAATGGAAACGGAATAGTGACAATCAACCTTTAAGTGCGTATTTATTTTACTACTATGAGTTCACGAAATCAAATGTTAATGTTCCTTCGTGACCTCTGGATTATACGCATAAAAATTTGCACAAAGGATCATTTAAAAGACATGAGTTAATTATTTGGACAAAGTGAATTTATGAAATTCATACCCTTAGGGAGTAGAATAGGGAATGAAAGTTTGGCTGTACGAAAATGCATTACTATAACTTCTAAAATTATAAAATTTTATAAAAGGGTTTATTTACTGACATCAGTAATACGAACGAAATATTTCTTCTTCAAAACATCCTTCTAGGAATAAAAAATTACGTATAAAGCGTGTATTAGTGCTCTTGAAAAATAAAAAAATTAGTGGAGTATATCAAGAAAAGCGACAATTGAAAACTTCAATTATTTAATTGAAAACTTTATATGTCAGGGCTATTTATTTTAGTAATACAGTTTATATTATGGGACCATAGGTAGAGGGTACATAAACATTGCACTATTTATGTTTTTCCAGAGATTTTCTTTTTTCAGATTTAGCAAAATGTCTTCTTTGGTTTTAGTCAAAAATAACAAAATCGATTATTTGAAAGGATATACAGGAAGAGTCTTAGGTAAGTGCAATTATTTTTAGCGGTAGTATAATATTTTGACCCCAGAAAAACAATTATGAAATTTTTTGCGATATTTTTTTTGGAAAATTTGGAATTTTTTGAAAAACTTTTTTTTAGTTTTTATTTAAAAACCAAAATTTCTTAATAATATGGTAACATAGGTAGTAGAATAAATTTACCAGACAGAAAAACCCGAAAAGCTCCAGTGGTTCCCAAAATTTAAGCAAATTAAAGCAAATTTTTTTTTTAATTTTTGAAAGTAAAATAACTCGGATATTTTGGAGTTATTAAAAAACGGTAAAGAGAAAATATGCTTCTTTTATCGAGATCTACCAGCTCTGAAAATACTTACACTTATTCAAGACTCGCACTGTATAATACCCAGAAAATCGACAATTTCTAACTTTCATATGAAATACGAGTAGCTCTAAAACTCTTAAAAACATAGTTTAAATAGTGCATTTGTAAGGTTCACTAGCTCTGTCTATTATAAAGAGTCAAACAATCATTTAAACCAATGAATGAACGATTCGAGGTGTAACGCGAACGTAGTCGCGGGAAAAAGCTAATAACTGTTTATACAGGGTGCCGCACCTCATTCGCCTCGGTTGATTATACGAAAACGGAAAGATGTAGAAACAAAATATTTTATGGGTATATGCCGGGAGGGAATGTGCACAATTTAAAATTATTTTGAAATGTACAGGGTGTTTCAGAACTAAGATCCATACCAAAGTTATATTTTTTCTTATGGAACACCCGGTATTTTATTTCGTTTTTGGATTCTTGGGCCCAAAAAAAGGTATTTATTATACGGGTTAATTATCCTGTATAATTTACGATTTTCATATTTATAGCAAATTAAGTACAGACCATCTAAAGTAAGTACTTAATATAGTTTTGATTTCAGAACAGTTCTTGTATTTTTAATAATTTTTTTAAGAATGGGCTGAAAAATATATATTTTTGATTTATTTTTTAATATCTCTGAAACTATCGAAATATATTTATTCATATCTTAGGGTTATGTAAAGTGATCTGAAAGGAAACCAAAAATGTAATAATATACAGGGTGTTCCATTTAAAAAAATCATCAATGTCCACTCACACTTTTTTGAGCCACCCTATAGAAGTTAAAATATTTTCCTGAAATACATCCTGATGCATACTTTAGGTTTGCACTTAAACAAAATGCTCAAGTTTTTTATTCTAGGAGCTACAGATGCCCGACGCTCTATTGCCGGACCCTGTATGAACATAATATCGGAAAATTATTAAGACATTTTCCGATCATAAAAAAAAACGATTAAAAAGTTCGAAAACCTAATTTACAAAGATCTATCTGTCAACCTTCAACGCTGGTGTCACACGATTAGCTGACAAACAATTGAAACGTCAGTCTGTAAATCGTAATATAAACAAGATGAAACTTAGAGAAAAATCAACTATAATCAGGTAAAACCAATTGATTACACACAGGAAAAATACATAATAAAATCCTTAACCCATATGTATATTGCAGACCCAACATTCCCACTTGTTGCGTTGAAAATAGACCAAAGATAATCACATCAAGTCTATGTTCAAGAATCCCCCGAAGAAATATGCCAAGAATTATCCTAACACAAGCATAAGTCTAAATAAAGAATGAGTAACCACTGTATAAAGAAAGGTAGGTTTTAAACAGACAAATTGATATTTTATTAATGAGGTTTTATATTACAGTTATCGGAGACAACTCCATCCCAAGAAATTGTTGTGGTGAAGAGACTTAATAGATAAGATATTATTAGATGTTATATGTACAGTTAAGAAGTAAGCTAATTAAACGTTATTATTCTAGTTATTCAAGTAAGTTTTAGTTTTATTCCTAAAAATAAGCAAAATAAGTAAATTTTAAACCGTAACAATTTATAACCAAATATATGTTTTTACAAGACTTTGACAGTTAAAACAACAAATTACAACATATTATATATTGAATATTATATGACTTGAAACACCACGGCACTGGAATTAAGTTTTATGTGACCTTGAACAGATTAGTTCACATGGTAGCGACCGATGAATCACTCCCAAACATTCGTGGCGTTTACTATAGTACCCTTGGTATTTCTTTACTTTATTTGATAGAAAATTACCTTCTCCATAGAATTACATATACCTATGTCAACCTTTGATACCTTTGCATAAAAAACTACTATTTTAAATTTCTACCTAAAGTACCATGATGTTCACAACGACAGTGACTGGAAATACAAAGTTTGTGGTACCAAATTATTCGTAAATATATGCTTTTGCCAAATATCCTAATAAGCCACCTACATTCCATTTGAAAACGAGTTTTGATTAAAAATACGATGTGAGCATCTTTAACCGACAGGGAAAAGACACATTTGACATTGTTACAGTTACATCGAAAATATTTGACGACCAAATCTATTTAGAAGCCTTGAATCCTTAATTAGAAATTAGTATTTTCTTTAACAAAACCATGGAACTCTAAGCGAGAATGTCAAAAGTTAACATATGATATGTCATTCTATTCAGAGTATCATTTTCTATGGAATAAAGTAAAACAAAAATACGAGGCTGCCGTTCCAAAATCAAAAGTTGTAATTTTCGGTGGAACTTAACTACACGGTACTTACTTAAAGTACTAGTTTTTTATTTGAAAATGCCAAAAGTTGGCATATGATATGCCATCCTATTTAGAATGTCACTTCCTATGAAATAAAAAAAATTACTGAAGTTGCCATTTAAAAATCAAAAGTTGTAGTCATCTGCGGAGAGACAGAAAGTGATTGAAACTAACTGAATACGTTAATCAGTACAGATTTCATTCATATACCAAATCTCATTTTTTTTGAAAAAATAAAAACTTTGGGGGATGAGCTACTTTTGAAAAACACCCGGCATAATATACTACCTTTGCTTATAGAAATATAAGTAAAATATCGATTTAATATAAAATAAATTGACTATGTTGGTAAATATTGTGTTAATAGGATAGATTATGAAGTAATTACCACTGGCGTAGAATTGTATGTAATCTCCATCGATAGCAACTGCTACTGGTCCATCAGTAGCTACAGATACTTTCAATGCGTCTTCGCTACCACTGAAATAGACATAGGATTCAATGTGGGTTGCAATTTTGGAAGAGTTATATTGGCAGGTACTATTGGCACCTACAATAAAAACATCACTTTTAGTCTTAAATATTAGTACCGCATAACGTCCTAACTAAATCTAAGTTTACCGAATGACGTTTATCCAGTAAACCTTGACAAAATTATTCTTAACAAAATCAACAAAAAGAGGAAATTATGATATTAAAAGTACCGCATTAAAAACAGGGTTGTTCACCACATACGACACGGAGTATTGTGGCTAAATTTTTAGGAATTGTAAGTTTTGGGTTCATTGAAGGACTATTAGAGCTACAATTTAAAAATATTTTTACAAGATACAGAGTGTTCCAAATAAGTAAAAAATACTATAGTTGTATTTTGTAAAAATATTATAGATTTATTATATATTATTCTATTTTTAGATTCTACGATTGAAATAAAGGTAAATTTGATTAAGGTTTATCACACTTAAACCTTACCGTTTTTGAAATATTCTCAATTTTATGAAATTGCAGTAAAGATTTTAAGGCTTCATTTCTCCAAGAGTATCAAATTTTTTAATACTAAATATTTACCCAAATTTATTTATTGACCGCATATTATGTTGCAATAATAAACAAAATACTACCTTATACAGATTGTCTAAAAATTTATATTAAATAATTACTAGCTTTAAACGGCAATAACTTGTTTAATTTAAATGGAACACCCTGTATATCTTACGGGAATTAGATGCACAATTTAATTGTCTATCAAAGTGTATTAAACCATTATTTACCTATCTCTTCAAGTTTTCGTAGACAATGCATTTTTTATAATTTAGACCTTATTTATCACTATACCCATGGAATATTGACATTTTAGATAATTTTTAAAAATTTTAATTATAAGAAAATGCATTTTGTTTGAATCGTATGTTGACAAAAATATTTTCAAAATATGCCATTACCAATTACCCCTACATTATGTAAAAAAAAATGAAATGAAATTCGCAAACCCAAAACCTAATATTGAGCTTTTTCGGAAGTCTGAATCACCCTTACCAGGTACTGGTAAGTACTATATCTATACCTTCGTATGGATAATCTGATTCATATTGCAAACCATATGCTTCAATGTAGGAGAACGTATCAGTCAAATATCCACCTTGGCAGCCCAAATTGCCAAAGTCTCCTGTACAGTCGACTAGTTGTTGTTCGGAGTATTTGCTTAGATTTCCAGTTTTGATAGCATAGGCAGCTTCAGTAGCTCCAACCTAGAATTAGATTGATAAATTCGTCAATAATATCTAATTTAACAAATAATTTGTAGAACTGATTAACACAAATTTAACCAAACGAAGATCAAAATTGAAAATACAGAGTGGCGCCTCTCATATGACGCGGAGGCTCTAAAGAGAACGACTTTTATGTTTTTAGCCTTCAAAATAATGTTCAGTAATTTACGGAATGCTCTACATATGATGCTATATAATAATGACGTCACCAATCTCTTTCATCTGGTTGTCAAGTGAAAGTAAGAGTTCGACAACATATGACGTGACGGTGAACGATTCCTAAACATTTTGCAGGGTAGAGCACAAAAATACATTCGCCTCGGTTGATTATACGAAAACGGAACGATTTAGAAACAAAATACTTTATGGATATATAAGGGGAGGCAATGTGTACAATTTAAAATTATTTTAAATATACAGGGTTTCAGAACTAAGATCGATACCAATTATATATTTTCTTATGGAACACCCGGTATTTTATTTCATTTTGGGATTCTTGGGCCCAAAATCTTAAAATCTTTGGGTTTTGAAATATTTAGAGATATTTAAATATAGATACTTTCAATGCGTCTTTTTATTGGCATATACTAATTTTTGTGCTGAGTTTAAAGGCAGGGAAATAATTTTTACTGAAAATTTTATTGCTTCCTCAAATTTATACAGGGGTACCAAAAATTGCTGATCCATTTTAAATATTTATTTTACATAAAAACTTTGTTATTTCAAATGCAACATCCTGTATTTTTTTAAATAAATCGAAGCAGATTTAAATGTTCTTTCGAACTCTATTATGGTTTCCTATACCTATCTAGCTCAAATTTTGAATAAAAAACGATTTTCAATAAAATGGCAATCAAGATGGCTAGTGTCTCATGGCAATTTTTTAGTGACAGTTAGTAACTATTTTTAAAATTGACATTAGTTTACGGACATTAATATTTAGATTTATAAGAGTTTACTTAAAGACAGTTTACTTACAATAGTATAATAAGTAAGTGTTCAATATTTTGTCAAGAAAAATAAAGCAGGATGTGCTAGCGGAACGAATGAATATGTTACTAGTGATTTTATTTTGTGAGGAAAATTGCTTCTTGGCCTAAAGGGTTTATGCTCAAAGATATCCAAATAAGAATCTTCCTGATAAGCGCTCATTTTAAAAACGAATTTTCCTATTTCGCAGAGCTAGTAGTATTTATAAAAAAACTATTAGGCAGAAACCTGTCGTTGAAAGTGTGTAAGAAAAAATGAATTTGCCGTAATTGGTTCTATTATAGAAAATCCATATATCTACAAGTCATCGTAAAATAAATCAAATAATTACTTCTTCGTTTTTCTTGATATAAGAAATACATATTTATTAAATATTATTTATTAAACTATTGTAGGGACCTAAATTAAATAAAAGTAAATTGCGATAAATTTTAAATAAACTCCATAAACTAATTTCGATTTTGAATATAGCTACTAACTGTCATTAGAAACTTGCCATGACGACGATGAAAAATTGCTCTTTATTCAAAATCTGATCTAGATAGGTATAGGAAACCCTAATATAGTTTGAAAGATCATTTGAATCTGCTTCGATTAATTTAAAAAAAATACAGGGTATTGTATTTGAAGCAATCAAATTTTTCAGTAAAGTTTATTTCTCTGGCTTAAAAGTCAGCACAAGAATTAATTCTGAAAAGCAATGTACAAGGTGTTGACAATTTTTTTATTATAGTCTGTATATTTAAATATATTTAAATATCTCAAAAACGGAAGTTTGTAAACATATTTAACCCTTATAATAAATGCTTTATTTTGTGCCAAAGGATCCAACAAAGGATCCAAATATAAAATAAAATACCGTTCCATAAGAACAAATAAACTTTGGTGTGGATTTTAGTTCTGACATACCCTGTACATTTAAACATAGTTTTAAATTATGCTTATTGCTTTCCCACATATACCCATAAAATATGTTGTTTTTACATCTTTGCGTTATAATCAACCGAGACGAATGAGGTGCGCCACCCTGTATAAATGTGTGTACATTTCAATACAAACCTCCTTTGGGCCTCCACGTCGTATGAGAGGCGTTGTCCTGTGGGTTCATAATTACACAAAATATAATAAAACTTACAAGAGTAAAAGCCCAACAGGCTCCGCAAGTTCCTTGATCCTGGACGGGGTTAATGACGTTCTTCTCTCTCCAATCAAATGAGTCGGGAATGATTGTATTTCCTACAGGTAAGTCGATTTTTTTGTTGGAATTGAAGGCGGGCTTAGTGGAAAGTTGTAAAGCAAGCATGGCTTTGAATTCAGCGGGCGTCATGTCAGCGAACTGATTGATACCTGGTTTAAATTTAGACTTAGTATTGTCTTTCAGTTTTAAACAATTACATACCCTGGGTGTAGGATTCCAGTCCTTGGTCGAATCGAGCGTTGTGGCTTTGAATGGTACGAAGATTTTCTCTGAAGATGGCAAAACGAGCAGATTCTTCGACATGGTTGTTGTAAGTCTTACCATGCTCCAACTACACAAAGCAACTAATAATATATTGTTTTATTAGGAGTAAAAATTATACTCTTTGTGGCGAGGCTGTATGTTTTTCGTTACTCGCAAAGCACAAAAATTATTTTTTACTTTGAATAACATAATTACTAATAATAATTACTAATCAAAAATAGTTATTTTTAAACAATTTCACAAGTCAGAAATAATATGAGAAGTAATACCATGTAATTAATTTTATGTAGAGTGAGCAACAATGGGTCATAGATAAAGGAAACAAGTTTAGTTACATTGGAATTAGGGGATGCAATCCCGCACCAAAATCTCAATCCCGCAAACCCGCGGGATTAAAGTAACCAATCCCGCGGATCCGCAAATTTGCGGGATTGTAAACAATAAATGCTCTTCTTTTCTCTCTCCGATTTTGGGATGCGGTTTGGACCAGGTCTTAGACGCATCTACTGTGATTAAGATGCTATGTGGTTTTCGAAAATATATTTAGCGAATTCTCATATACAGGGTGTTTTATAATAGTGTACAAACAATTTTTGTACAAACAAGAATCTTTTTTACCGAAAATTTACAATTTTTGAAAAATCGAAATTTTGACTGTGTACGACTAATCTGTATTAAAATTAGAAAAAACAGTTTGGTGTTTTTTTTTAAATTTTTTGTATTAAGGAAAATACGTTTTTTTTTTTCGAAAAATATGCATTTAGAGTCATAGATTTGGTCCTAAATGGTAAAAAAGGCATTGTAAATTTTGTATAGGCCCACAAAATAGTGATAAAGCGTGTATCTTAATCTATCTGTACAAAAATTTGGAGCGATGTATACAGGGTGTTCAAAAAATATATTTAATATTAAATAAACTTAAATTTTATTATATTTTATCTACTTATTTTATAAATAAAAATATTGTTCTGATGTTGAAGTTTTTTTAACTTCTAAGTTATCTGCTTTTAGATACACTCTATATCAATAATTTTTTGGCATATGCAGAATGTACAAAGCTTTTTGTCCCATTTAGGACCATCGTAAAAAAACGTCGTATTTTCCTTAAAACAAAAAAAATAAAAAACCGATCAAATTGTTTTTTTCTAATTTCAATACAGATCAGTCGTACTTGGTAAAAATTTCGATTTTTAAAAAATTGTAAATTTGCGGTAAAAAGATTCTTAACCAAATTTTCACTCTTATTAAACACCCTGTATACGAGAATTCGCTAAATATATTTTCATATTTTCGAAAACCACATTATCTTCATTGCAATACATGCATCTAAAACCTAGTCCAAACCGCATCACAAAATCTTTTTTAGTTCATTTTAGATTTTAAAGAAATGGCGAATGTTCCAGGTTTGATAAAACAATAAACTAAATTCAAGAACTGTTTCTAAAATTACAATATTAAGCCCAAAATAAATAAAATTAGAAAAGAAATCTATGAGAATATAAATCCCGTAACATTATGTCTAAAGAAATCTAACAATTAACCTGTTTGTTTCACTTATTTTTAATGGCCAAGCTGCAAGGGGAATCCCCTGGTGTCGATCCCGCAAATCCCGCACGGTAAATCCCGCAACTTTAATCCCGCGGAATCACAGAGGGATCCCCCATTTGCGGGATTGCATTCCCTAATTGGAATGCTCGACTTGCCGTCAAAACTTATATTATAATATAAACTCGACTTGTTTTGGGGTGCATACGTTTACGTTGTACGGGATCTGGCGCTGCTATAGCGGTTTCTAAGAACAACCGTAAACAAGAACAGAAATAATTTTCTCTTGTATAAGTAAAATCTTTAAAAATTATAAAATCTTGCTAAAATTTAAACTGCCCTCATTTAAAAAATAACGAAAAGTGTTTGAAGCGTCCATTTTCAAAGTAATTATTGCTATCTTGTGAGTTTAGTGAATTATTGCTATCTTGTGAGTGATAATTGTGAAAAAGTGGCATTAAAAACTTAAAAAGCTGTGTGAATTGCAAAAACCATCGTGGATCGTGGCATAACGTCGGTTTCTAATGTTTCATAGGTATTTCATACATGTCCTTATATAAAATAAAGTTTCTTATATGCAACACACTGTATTTTATTTAAAAAATTAAAAGAAAATAATAAATTTCAATAAATAATATTTGGCGACATAAGTCCGGAAAAAACCGAACCGCTCCGAAGTTATCAAAAACATCGGAGAGCGACCGTTGTTAGAATAGCGCCAAATAGTATTTTCATTGTCCTTATGGGCACTTTCCAATTTAAACTTGTTTCGTTTGTCTATGACTGACATTAAGTATCAAAAATCAAATGTACAGGGTAGTCGAAATTGGTCTGTTTTAACAGAGAAAACCTTTTTCCTGACTAGATTGCTCTAACCTAACCGCCATAGATGTCATGGGCTCGATTTCTGAGACACGTTTAATAGCGTAAACCGCCTGTTGATATTTTCACTGTCAACTGAGATACGGGGTCTTTTTGATTTTTTTACCATTTGTAAAAACCTTTTTAAGGCACTTTTTTAAGCAGAATCCAGTTTTTCTATACTGCTCTTTTTGTCAGAAATAATAAAAAATATAATTTTTTAAATGGATATCGTAGTTGGATATGAACTTCAAAAAAATGCTGGCGTTTAACCCTTTCCAACGATATAAAGTTATGTGTATTTATTTCTAAAAATGAGAGAAATATTAAGTTTTTTATCTTTGTATCGAAGCAGGCAATGATTTTGTGTTCACCTATTGCCTAATTATTTGTTATCACAATTAAATATACTATATTATTATTTATCTCTGCATAAATTAAAAACTTCGTCACTCAGAAAAATACGTTTTTTTAATTTTGTTCTTTGTTTAGTGTATCGATTTATCTTTTTAAACGTCTTTAATTATGCAGATAAATAATAATATAGAATATTAAATTGTGATAAAAGATAATTAGGCAAATAGGTCAACACAAAATGAAAGCTCGCTTCGATATAAAGATAAAAAACTTATATTTCTCTCATTTTTAGAAATAAATACACATAATTTTATATCGTTGGAACGCCAGCATTTTTTTTAAGTTCATAGCCAACTATGATTTCCATTTAAAAAATTGTTTTTTATTATTTCTGACAAAAAGAGCAAGCATAGAAAAAAACTGACTACGCCACTGGATTGTGCTTAAAAAGTGCCTTAAGAACGTCTGCCTTAAGAACGAATTTTATTATTCCGCGAAATAAAAAAGTTATGAGCAATTTTTCAAAAAGATCCCGTATCTCAGTTGACAGTGAAAATATCAACAGGCGGTTTATTCCATTAAACGTGTCTCAGGAATCGAGCCCATGACATCTATATCGGTTTTGCTCTATCTAGTCAGGAAATAGGTTTCCTCTGTTAAAACAGACCAATTTCGACCACCCTGTATACATTGTTGCTCAATATACATATAATTAATTAGAAGGTATTACTTCTTATATTATTTGTGATTTGTGAAATTGTTTAAAAAAATATTTTTGATTTTTGAAATAAACTATCAGGTTCCATTCGGAGTAAAAATGAACTTTTTGTGCCTCGCCAGTAATGGCAAACGTACAGCCTTGCCACAAAAAGTATAATTTTTACTACTTTACGTTTGACAAAGCAGCGTTAGCGAGTCTGACATACAGCTGAGGCACAAAAAGTTATTTTTACTCCGAATAGAACATGCTATTTTTTTTTCAAACGCCACAAATAAGTTTTTAAACAATTTCAAACGTTCCAAATGATAAATAATATCAAAAATATTTAAAACTCATACCTTCTACGTAGTTTTATATCAACAAACTATGGTTACGGCTCGTTGAGTTTAATCATATATTTTCGTACTTTTAATGCCTAGGCGTTAAAATGAGTTTTTTATATTGTCAATCACGTCGCAAAAATTAATACTTTTGTGACGTTTGAAAAAAATATACTACTTTTATGCTAAGTGGATATTTTCAAGTTACAAAAATAAAATCTCACTTTGAACGATTGAAATAGGGCGGCATCCTGCTCAAGCTGAGAAGAAGCACTGACGGCAACTATCAAACAACTAGCTAAGATAAAAACTCTCATTTTTACCGTTGGGTGGATCTTGGAACAATAAATCATTGACTTTTCATGTACTGTATTTATAAGTAAATGTAATTAGGACCTATAAAAAGATTAAATAGCCCTTGGAAATACCAACAGTCTAATTCTCGAATGGAGATATATACAAATATGTACTACACTAAAAAGTCGTTGATTACTGTCTATAGTTACACAGTGTTCGAAAAATTTACCAGATTAATGGCTTATAATATTTATTTTTATTTTATATATTTTTAATCAAAATAGTACTGATGCAAAAGGATATTGCTAATGTATATGCTGAAAATTGCTCGGTGAATTGAAAAATGCATACAAAGATAGTTACTGTTACTTCAGACCTGGTAACAAAAAAATGTATTGCCATAGTAGTAGTCATTCAAAAAGAATAATGCATATGCTGAAAACTGTCTAACAGTTGCTATAAATATTGATAGCTAATTGATTAGAATTCCCCTTTTCCCTCTGGCTCTCGATATATCCCATGAATCCGGAAATTTCCCACGAGTTGGCATCACTGATCCCTCAAGTGGTAATGGGCCGAACGTCTGGTAAGAAGGACGGACAATAGATAGATCACAAGAATTACAGCATGGTGTTCATGATACCCACGAGGAATTAAGAGACCTAGAATAAGACCAAACCTGAGATGGAACCATGATATAACTTGAGCCCGCATAGCAAACAATAAACAATGGGCGCAACTACAAAGAGAGTATCTAAATATGTGAGGGAGGCTACACCATAATTGGCAATGGTTGAACAAGTTGAGAATGATAATGATGAATTGATTAGACAACAATTTTTAAAAACGTTCCTGTGTATAGGTACTTACATAGACACTAACTAAAACATACGACATAGTTTTACATAGGATCCCACAACTTTTTTTAGTAGATATTAAAAAGTTCTTGAAAATGTATGTATGCTGGAATAACCGAATTACAAATTTTGTCAAAAACTGTTTTGTTTCTTTTTATACTGCACATTTTTTGTTGTTTTCTGTAATATATTGTGATTGAATTGTTATGTTATAGACGTTGAATTATATCATACTGATAGAAGCTATTCATTCATATACTATACGATCGACACAAAAACGGTGTCAAAGTTGGCTGAGTAATGAAAATCGATGATAATTTTGGTGAATTGAAAATTGATAAAAATTTTAGAAAGTCAAGCCCTTGACGTCATTTAGTTGGCCGGTGCTCTTCTTTATATTTTATGGCACCTACTGCCATTTGGCCTTAAGAATATTGTAATTTATTTTTATATTGAGTAAAGGAACTTCTCTCTTTTTACTCTACGATTCCATCCTTTTTCAATCTTTCTACGATTAGTGTTAGTTTTTGACAAGTTTTATCTCAATTTTTATTTAATGGCGTCTAGAGATTGACCTAGATAATCTTATCACTGATTGTCACTCGCTACCTGTCTTTGACGCATTTTTTCGATCATGTGGTTCTAATTTATCACGCGTTATAATTTAGAATTTTATGTTTCAATCACCGAGTATCAATTAGGAATAATCTTGATTTTGGAGTACTTAAAAAAGCACCTACTCTGACTTTTAAGGTAAATAAAGTCGTCGATAAAGATAATTAGATCTAATATATAACAAGTATCAGCTACATCCTAGTACGCTAAAAAGAGTACTTTTGATAAAATTAATGTCTCACTTCAATTAAGAATAATCAAAAAGACATAAAATATAATGTAGCTGTAGTAACAAAATTCATGCAAAGATCAGGGCCCGTATTCTGTAACTTTGACGTAAAAACGTTACGCTTTCAAAGCGGTGAGCGCAAGTATTCGATCAGCGAAACGCAAGGCAGTCTATATTGGTATTCTCGTTGCCATTCTCACCACGTGTTCTGGATACGCGTTGAGCACATATTGGCAACATCACAATTTCTAATGTAGCTAATAGTCAAAAGTTGATAACTGACGGATGTAACAATGAAAAATGTCAATGTTACGTGAATTTCATAACTTATTGTTGAGTCACTGCCGTTCTTTAAAAGATCAGCCTGGGGGCGGACTTCTGTTTACTTCATCAGCTGTACATACTTAGATATTGGGTTAGATTCCGTTTCATATTTTGTCGGTTGATTTTTGGTTTTAACTCTATGATTTTTGGTATTATTTATTATTGTAGTGCAAAAAACTAATTATTTTGGTGTTTAAGTGACATAAACTACTACCAGATATATGGTCACTCTCGGTTTCGCATAAAAAAATAGAAAAATTGAAAAATGACACGTTGTGTAAGTGATTTAACCTAAAAGTGCCCATACATTTTTTACTTATCGTGATTTTTGTGTGTTTTTTAAGACTCTAACAATTCATCAATAAAGCTTAAGTGGAGTGTGTTTTTGGTGCTATGCCTCATCTTTGTTGTGTTCTTGGTGGAAAGGATAGTTATACTAGGCAGCCTAAAGTGTCCAGAAGAGCAAGAAAAGTGGGTACGAGTTATAAATCAAGAGAATTCTATTGAAAATATCTTTAATAAATTTAAAAATAATATTCTCCCATGATGGTATTAATGAAAACTGGACAATTATGTTTATTTATTCATATTGTTACGTTTTTTTCGTCAGTTCCGTGTGGATAGAAAGTCACAATTTATTTAAACACTATTTATTTAACACTAATGAACAAAAAATAATAACGATAAAAGACTTATAGAACTATTTACAAACGATTTATAACTAAGAATTTATTTTGAAATTTTAGCGCGTCAACTGTATATTTATAACTGCCCTCTCTAGGCCACTGCCGCCGGCTTTTATACCGACAGGTAAAAGAAATCTAGAATAGTCCAAAGATCGTTAGGCGCAAGAGAAGGTTTTCGAATGTTCTCGTATGTACGAGTCCATTCTAGTGGGTCTCGGTTCTTCTCGAACGAATGAATCATTGCGGTGTCTATGCGATGTTAAGGTCATCCGAGGGCGGGCCATATTGTGAGAGGTTAGGTCGAGTCCACACCGGCTCGCAACACTGCCCCTTCTTAGGCACATGCTCGTCCCGAGATGTATACGGTGAATGAAGGTATTTGCAAAGCTGGCCCCTGGTACATTGCGAAGTCTGGTAGAAATAGCAGTCTACAGTTTTCTCTCCCGATCTCAGCTTTGGGTTGTAGCAGCAAACGAGGATCTCGATTCCCGTAAATCTGAACAAGACTTCAATCATGTTCCGGATTGTACGCCAACTCAAACCATCGAGTCCACACGCCAGCTTCGGAATGGCTAATCGTGCAATGTTGTTGTTTAGCAGGGCTTCTCTCAGTTCAATCAGGGTCTTCCATAGATTGAGATAAGTCGGCTTACTCGGGGACCATTCCTTGGTGACCAGGTAGAAGATGTGCCTTGCTTGACCATGTGCATTGTCGGTTAGCCTCAAGACGCTTCCAACCTCTGGATCCTGTCGGCGTAGTTCTCCGACACGCCCAAACTTCTCATTGAACGTCGCAGCGATTCCTCTGGACATCCGCAAATCTCGAGCCACACAATGAGCGAGCGAATAATCAGGAGGCACGGAAAAGAGGTCTCGTTGATCTTCTTTGGTTACACCATAGCGAGCCTTCTCACTGCTGTTGTATCGGGCCATGAAATCGTCAAAGGACATCTCCGAATCAGGGGGATCAAAGCTGCAGGTTCTCACGGTCCCAGCACGATCTTCTATTTCGCCTTGGTAGGGGCTCAAACGGTTGAAATGGACTACCCTCGGTTTTCCTTTTGGCAATTTTCTGATACGGTATACGACGTCATTAATTCTATCCATGACTTCGTATGGCCCTTCCCACGAGGATTGTAGCTTCGGAGATAACCCACGACGTCTCTGCGGGTTATATAGCCACACCAACTTCCCTGGTTGGTATCCTCCATGCTCAGCTTGAATGTCGTAGTGTTCCTTCATTCGGTCACTAGCACTTTGAATATTTAGGCGGACTCTCTGATGAATGTCGTCCATCCTTTGACGTAGTGTGTGGACATAATCTTCTCCGGCGACTTCTTCTCCCGGTCGGCAACCAAATTTCAGATCACAGGGTAGGCGCACTTCCCGTCCCATAACGATGCTGGCTGGAGTTTGCCCTGTAGATTCTTGGACGGATGAACGGTAGGCCAACAGGAACAGGTGAAGAAATTTGTTCCAGTCTCTTGGTGGTCAGAGACTACTTTGGCCAGATAACGGTTGATAGTTCTGTCATGCGTTCAACCATCCCATCGGATTGTGGATGTAGAGCAGTCGTCCTGGTCTTGCGGATGTTCAGGACTTCACAGACGCCTTGGAACAGATTGGACTCAAAGTTTCTTCCCGGATCTGAATGAAGCTCCATGGGAACACCAAACCTGCAAATCCACTCTTTAACAAGGGCATCAGCAACGGTGGACGCTTCTTGATTTGGCAACGCGTAGGCCTCGACCCATTTGCTGAAGTAATCCATTACTACCACAATGTATTTGTTGCCATCGTTCGTCTCCGGGAAAGGACCAGCCACGTCGATCGCTATTCGTTCGAAGAGACTGCCGACATTGTACTGGCGCATAGGGGCTTTACCACGCTTTTGTGGCCCATTGATGGCTGCGCAAATGTCACATTTCTTACATCAGGCCCTCACATCAAGTTCATCCAGTAGAACCGTTCACGCAGCTTGCCAAGTGTTTTGGTAACACCCAGATGTCCACCGCTGGTTCCATTGTGAACTTCCTCCAAGACTTCTGGGACCCTCTTCTTTGGAATGACGATCTGCCTTTTCTCTTCTTGTCCCTCCGGTCTCTCGATCACACGGCGAAGTAGTCCGTTATCTATTACCAAGGAATTCCACTGGGCCCAGTACGACTTTACGTTCGGCGAATATCTGCAAACTTCTTCCCACGTTGGTCTTTGGCCTGTGTTTTTCCAGTTAATTACTAAACCTAATTCTGGGTCACTGGTTTGGTCATTTGCAAGATCTTCGGGTTGCCAACTATCATTAACCACAGTTGTTCTTAGGAGTTTCACTTCTTTCTCTTCTGCTCGGGAACAATGCTTACAGTCCTTAGCGCAAGGTCTTCTGGAAAGTGCGTCGGCATTTCGATGGATTGCCCCAGCTCGATGTTCTGTGTCGAAGTCAAATTCTTGTAATCGTTCAATCCATCTAGCTACCTGCCCTTCAGGATTCTTAAACTGCAACAGCCATT